AATCTTCATTGTGGAATTGTGTGTACTGAACTCGTACCCGTTACCTCTGTCGACGTTACTTTAGGTACCCGACACTGAGTACTTGGAGCAGTATAGTCGTAAAAGACACTGACAGATCTTATTATGGCTAGAAAGGAGGAGATACTGCACACGAACCAATCTCGAGACTGGTGAGATTCATCTGCCGAATCAATGGGTGGGATACCGATCGATATAGAAGTTTTATTTCTGATAATGAATTTTTATAAATATTTCTTTTGATATGCATCTGGAAACAACCACCGTAATAGGGGAAACACGTGCAAAGGGGATGGCCAAAATGAAAGTTTAACAAACTAAACGATTCATGGAATGAGGTCCAGTCGTTAAGTGAAGCGAAAGACAGCCTTATTGCTCTTCAAAACTCTCCGTCCCCAGGAATATCAAACTTCATCGAGAATGCTTCGACTCTCTGGAATGAGAACTCATAAATAAGCACTGATATTAGTGATGAAAAACTACAAACCTCTGCGAGTTCTTCGATTTCCTTCAAGAATTCCTTGTTGGTCTCGATGAAAGCCTTAAAATCCTTCATAGTCTTTCCAAACTGTCCTTTGTGTCGTTGCATAATTTCGAGACCTGGATGGGACCAAATTAATATAAGAGTTGCGTCTACTTGGAATTGAGAAACTACCTTCGTGAATGAAGACGGCGACCTGTTCGAAGTCGTGCTCCTTGAAACCACGACTAGGTGAGCGCAGGAGTTCCAAGTCGGATGCCTCCGGGGCGAAGTGCAGAAACGTCACCGGGACAAGTGTTCTTATTACATGTGATATGAGCCAAATCCAAGACCTGCTCCGCTTTGGCACCTTCGATTCCTTTCGGCCTCAGGTCAACCAAACACAGGTGGTTGTCAGTTCCACCTGAAAAGGGAGCACAAAGAAATTCAGCCAATTCAATAGCGTGTTATGAAGAACCAAACAAGCTTTTACACCCCACATTTTATGGATGAATCATTGGGAATAATAACCACCGCCTACTACGTTTTCTTCTTTAAAGGCAGTTGGCACGATAAATCGCTATACAGGTGTAGGATTTGTACAACTGGCTTAACAGAATTCCGTGACCTCG